TTTAAGAGACTCAAATAAGGATCAGGATAATCCAATCTCACCAGAGAAATGGGTTGATTATTATAAAAAGTTAAACAGCAATGACAAGATGAATGACTTTCAAAATCAATGTAATCCTAATTCCACCAAGAAAATGGAAAGAATTCTACGAACAATTAAATAATAATGCTACTGATAATAATAATACTGTTTTTCAAAAACAGATATTCTGTAACATCTGAGCTATGGAAGAAAAAGAACATTTTAAAAATTATAATTTAAATAATGAGATATCTGAAAAAAAAATTAGGCTGGCCATTAAAAAACTAAAGAGTGAAAAAATCATCAGGATATGACGATTATTGCCCAGAATTACTTAATACAGTTCAGACTTCAGTTCAGATACAAATTCAGCCACTACATAAATTATTTAATATGATCCTGGACTCAGGTAATCTTTCCAAATCTTTGGAATATTAGTATCATCTCTCATATTTTCAAGAAAGGAGACAAAACTGACCCAGAAAATTATAGAGGAATAGCTGTTCCTAGTTGTGTAGGTAAAATTTTTGGTAGTATAATTAACACTAGAATTAGTCAAGATACTGAAGATAATAACATTATAAATAATAACCAGGCAGGATTCTGTAAGGGATATTGTACTTCAGATCAGATATTTGTATTGAAAACTATTGTCAACAAATACTTGAAATCAAGGAGAAAATTGTATTCATGTTTCATAGACTTTCGAAAAGCATTTGATAGAATCTGGAGACGGGCTTTTCTATAAATTACTTAATAATGGTATAAATGGGAAAATCTATAACATAATTAAAAATATGTTTTTAAAATAAAAAATCATGCATTCGTTTCAAAAATAAAATTACACCCATATTTGAAACGACCAAGGGTGTTAGGCAGGGTTGTGTCGTTAGCCCAATGCTTTTTAATTTGTTAGTCCCCGCTTGAACGCAGTCCGAAACCGGGGACTTATGTTTTGACCTCAGTGTGTCCGTGTGTTCGTGCGTGCGTCTGGACCTGTATGTTAGAAATGCCTATACCAATCACAATCAAACTTTACATGTACATCATACATGATTTTGTTTCAATTTGTTTCACGATCTGATTCAAGATGGCCGAATGGTGGCCATTTTTGTGCTAAAAAATCCTAAAAATCAAGCATTTTTCAGCTGATTACAGATGGATTTTGTTCAAAATTGGTATATATACGTTAGACATTATATGACATTGATGCACATCATTTTGTTTTGCAATCTGATTTAAGATGGCCGAATGGCGGCCATTTTTGTGCTAAAAAATCCTAAAAATCAAGCATTTCTCGGGTGTTTACAGATGGATTTTGTTCAAACTTGGTGTATACATTAGACGTTGTGGAACCTTGATGCAAATAATTTTGCTTTTCAGATTAGATTCGAAATGGCCGACTGGCGGCCATTTTGTTTTAATGAATGTGATTCTCATGTCATATGTCTGACTTGCTTTCACTGATTATGTTCAAATTTTACATATTCATTATACATTATGTCATAGATAGACATATATTGGTTTGATGATCCTATTCAAAATGGCCGAATGGTGGCCATTTTTGTGCTAAAAAATCATCAAATATCAAGCATTTCTGGCATTTATAGATGGATTTTGTTCAAACTTGGTACATGCATGTATATTAGACATTACAGGTTTCTGATGCACATCATTTATTTTTCAGATCAGATTCAAAATGGCTGTCTGGTGGCCATTTTGTTTTAATGAATGGGCTTCGAGAGCCATATCTCGGACTTGCTTCCACTGATTATGTTATGTTCAAATTTTAAATATTCATTATACATAATGTCATAGATAGACAGATATATTGGTTTTGACGATCTTATTCAAAATGATCGAATGGTGGTCATTTTTGTGCTAAAAAATCATCAAATATCATGGATTTCTTTCAAACTTGGTACATACATTAGACATTGCGGGTTCCTGATGCACATCATTTTATTCGTCAAATCAGATTCAAAATGGCTGTCTGGCGGCCATTTTGTTTTAATGATTGGGCTTCGAGGGCCATATCTTTTAAATGCTTTGACTGATTATATTCAAATTTTATATATTCGTTTTACATCATGTTGTATATATATATATCTTGGGGGCCATTTCTGCAATCTCATTGCATCATTTTGGGGGTTTTCGCACATTTCCATGTCCTCATTCGCCCCCAAGATGTAATTTCAGTTGTAATTTTATTAACATTTTCAGTAACAACCATATTTGTAGATCACAGCTTCCGCTGTTTCTACCATATCAGGCCAGCCCCGGCTGCCTCAATGCTAACCTGTCATGTAGTTGCAGCTTCCGCTGCCTCTACCAGTAACACATAACATCACGCAGTTTCAGCTTCCGCTGTCTCTGCAAATAACACAACCAGTAGGTACAGCTTCCGCGGTATCCTACCCCTCAATTCGTACTAATGACTAACCTATTAACCTGCAGCTACTGCTGCACTAACCAGTTTATCTTTTATTATTGTTTGTATTTTTTATAGTCTTTATTACAGAGTTTTACTTTACAGTGTTTCGTTACATTTGTATTTTCATTTACTTAGCCAGCAACAATTTGGTGTTGCCCAGTTTTATCATTTACAAGGTCTGTTACTTTTCCTACCAGTAGCTAGTGAAAGCTACTACTTTTACGTTTGGGAGCCCGCTGGGAAATTTGATCTAAGCTGTGTATTCTGACTTATCCCAGCAGCGGGCTCCCCTGTTGTTTGCCAAATAAAGTACCTTTACCAATTTTATATGTTGTGTCATAAATACATGTATTCAAAATGTCTGATTTTGAATGCTGTTCCAGAGCAATATTTCTCAATATGGACAAGTACTTGTTTGACGATCAGATACAAATGTCAATCATTTTAATGTTAAAAAAATCATATTCCTGACATGGTTATATTCCAGCTATATTACTATAAACAAAACTATATATATCTTAAATTTGATAACTAACGGGGAATGTGCCATGCATGGCTTGTTTGTTAATGACTTGAATAATTCACTAGAAGATCCAGTTACATTGAATAACTGTAAAATAAGTTCCCTACTTTAAGCAGATGATCTAGTGTTAATATCTGAAACAAAAAATGGTCTACAAAATGCACTAAATAGTTTAGAGGTTTATTGTCATAAATGGAAACTCCAGGTAAATCTGACAAAAACAAAAGTTATTTTCAGACGAGGAACACTAAAAAAATAGAAAAATTCTATTATAATGAACAAAATATTACCTGTGTAGATGTGTACAACTACCTGGGTATAAATATAAAGTCAAATGGCTGCTACACTGAAGCCAAACAAAATTTAGCAGATAAAGCAGCCCGAGCAATGTATGCATTGAAACAGTTCCTACCACCAGAAACAAATTGTAGAACTTTCATCCATCTTTTTAAAAGGTGTATTCAACCAATATTATTGTACGGGTCTGAAATCTGGGGTCATGAAATTCAAGATTACAACAAATGGGACAAAACAATAACAGAAAAAACACAATTGAATTTTTACAGACAACTACTAGGATTGAACAAATTTGTGACAAACATTGCATGCAGAGCTGAAGACGAGAATTCCCACTCTTAGTAGATATTCAGATCAATTTAATAAAATACTGGACTCGTATCAGTAAATTATCAGACAATAATATCACAAAACAAGCATACCTGGAACAAAAGAAATCCAATTTAGAATGGTATTCTTCAATACAACAAATGATGAACAACATGAATTTTTCACTAGAACAACAGAATGATTTGTTAACAAAACATATACAGCAAATTGGCAAAGTTATCAAACAAAAATACATAAATTTCTGGAGAAAAAATATAACTGAAAAAACAAAACTGAGAAATACAAAAATTTATAATTTTGAAAAATACTTGTATGTGTTGAATTTGAAACAAAGAATTTCAATGGCAAAATTTCGAACTAGTAATCACAATTTAGCAATAGAAAAAGGGAGGCATATGCAACCAAAAATACCTACTAAAAATAGAATTTGCAAACAATGTACACAGAATGAAATAGAAGATTAACTGCACTTTGTTATATGCTCAGAATATAAAGTAATACACCAACAAATCATACAAGACATTACATTTTCACAAGAAACACAGGATGATCTCCAGAAATTTAATTTCTTGATGACTTCAAAAGATAATGTAATAATAAAAAAGATTGGCAATTATATTCATAACGCATTTCCATCAAGGAATGAAAATGCCATTTGATATGTAACACTTGCTTTATCCTATTAACAACTAACTTTCTTTTTGTAGTAGTAGTTATCACAACTAATCTTTATTGCTATTAACTGATAGAAACATTGTATTTCTAAGGATGCAATAAAGTTATTATTATTATTAACTTGCATAGTTATGTTGCAGGACAGCATTGGATAATCAGCAGCACACACCCACGCATATGGCCAATGAGAATTTCTGTATTATAGATTGCACATGTGACGTATTATATTTATTTCTTACTTTTACTGTACAAACGCAGACAGACACTATCCAACATGAGGCAAACATTTGTTTGTAATGGAAAAATACAAAGGAATAACAAGCAAAATATGCTTACTGCTCACAAACCAACAGCTTCTCAGACCTCATTTGCATATTTTACTCACAAGTAATAATTGGAAGTAGGGTATTGATAATTAGCACTAAGTACGATGTAAGTCGACTCATCTGTCTAAAGCTTGAATGCATACTTGTGTGCCATTTAATGTTTGCATACCTAACACATTTACTTTACAAAGTCACACCAGGTTGCCAGGAAATCTACCATCTCTGATGGCTTTCTTGTATAAATTTATATGAACAATGCAAGAACATACAAGACCTTGACTTTTTGTTTTTCAGCGTCGAGTAGAATCAGTCTTGCTTATAGCAGATAACCAAGATGCTCGTACTTGCATGAGAACATGCCCACCACAGAATTGTCGTGAAGCATTTACACTAGTTGGTGATCAAGTACACGCCGGTGCAGAACAAAGATACTACTCAAGTAACTATGATAAAGCAAGATACATTTCTGCTGATGTTGAACAACAAATTACGTAAGTTATTCTGTTCAATCAGTTTTGGTACAATTTTCACTTTCTACTTGCATTGGCATTGATTAATTGCATAATACTTTATTTCACAATTAAAGAACTCCGCTGCCTATTATTTATTATTCGATCATCAATCATTTGTCACAATAATCTGGAGCCTCAGTTAAGGCTTCAAAAGACAAACCTCTTCTCCAACTAGTTGTTTCTAC